CGCTTGTAGTCGTGGGTGTTACAGGTGCATGCCTAGAAACTCCTCAAGAACTGGTTAATTTTTTGAAGCAATATCGGATCCTGAGAAAGCTTCAAGGCATTAAATCATGCAAACAAGAAGGACAAACGACAACAGAACTCAACAGAATGAATCGAACTAGACATGGGTAACGTAATAGACAACTTAAACAACAGAAACAATGGGAGTGACCCGAACAATCAGGGTATGGTACCTCTTGTTCCAGAAGCGGCCTTGTATAATTGGGCACAACCCACTGCTGATAATCTGGCAATCGCAATTGTATTCCCTTAGATACAAGAGGAGTCATTTCAAATCACAAACAACATGCTACATCTGCTACAGAACACTGGACTGTTCTTCGGGTCTTACATTGAAGATCCACAGCAGCATCTAAAAAACTTTTTGTCAATTTGTGTCACTCGAAAGCAACCGAATGCGACACCGGAAGCAATTAGACTGTTATTGTTTCCATTATCAGTGACTAGAGAAGCTTAGACTTGGATCAATTTGCTCCCCCATAAACTTCTTCACCACTTGGGAGGAATTAGTCAAGCAGTTTTTGAACAAGTTCTACCCACCCAATAAAACTGCCAAGCAAGTTGATGAGATATTGAGCTTCAGGCAGAAACACTACAAGAAATGTGGGATAGGTTCAAAGGGATGCTAGTTAAGTGTCCACGTCATGGGATTCTGGATCAGATGTTGGGACAAAGGTTTTACATGGGATTGGTAGATAGCTTGAAGGACAACATTGATGCTTCAGTAGGTGGAGCATATTTGAGCAAATCATTCAGTGAGTGTAAGTTCCAGCTAGATAAAAGTGGCTCAAAACTCAGGATGGATGACAAGAGACACTACAATCACCCCTGTAGTTCACTCAGTAGCTTTGGACCCAAACAACTCCGTAGCCGAGTATATGGCCTCTCTGATGATGCAAATGAGTATCCTCACCAAGAAGATTGGTGAATCAGGCCAAGAGAAGGTACACATAGTTGACACGACTAATGGGGCTTATGTACATCATGCATTAACCAACCATATGTGTGCTCGTGAAGTGGTGAAAGTGACAACCATAACTAGTAGGAGAATATAAACTATGCGGGCAACTATGGAGGATAGAGACAAGGTGGTCAGACTTGGGGACAGCAGAATCAACAATATAGGTCAGCACAGCAGCAGTACAATAACAATAATAATAATCCTGGAGCTGCACGACCACAGGGTCAGGCTGTGCCTTATCAAAGGCAATAAGGGTACAATCAGCAGAATCAACAATTATCTTATCAACAACCTCAACAGCAATAGATAGTGCGACAAGATGATGGGTTGTGTGAAATTGAAGGAATGTTGTAATAACTCATTGGGTCCAGCGGGAAAATGGAAGAAAAGGTCCACCAGATGCAAGAAAAGGTAGTATCACATGACTCAGCTATCAAGGGCATTGAGATTCAACAAGGGCAGATATCGATGGCTCTAAATAATTGTCCCTGAGGGACGTTACCTGTGGACACACATGTAAATCCGAAAGAGCAGGGCCCAAAGCAGCTTATGGTGGTGAGTCTAAGAAATGGTAGAGACCTAGATCTAGAGCAAGAAATTGCTCGCGAAAGCCAACCAACTGAGATACTTGTGCCAGTACCAATTGAGGTGGACAATTTAACAGGGTTAACAGAGGTAACGGTACAACATGCACAAGACGAAACAAGCAAAGAAAAAGAGGTTGTAAAGGAGACTGAGAAAGTGAAAGAGACAGCATCAGAAAAAGTGCCAGAGCAGGGTCTAACTGAAGTCATAGGAAGGAAGCGACCTCTAGCACCCTTCCCGCATAGGTTGGCTAAATATCAGAAGGATGAGCAGTACAAAAAATCATGGAAATTTTGAAGCAAATTCAGGTAAACATTCCTCTAATTGATGCGTTAAGGAAGATGCCCGGTTACGCAAAAATGATGAAGGACTTGATGTCATGCAAGTTTGACTTTCAAGACTTGGCAACTGTGACATTGACTCAAACCTGTAGTGCTGTTGTGACAAGACCTATAGATGAAAAGCTATCCGACCCTGGAAGCATCACAATTCCATGCACCATAGGTAGCTATGCATTCGCCAAAGCATTGTGTGATTGTAGGCGAGCATAAATCTGATGCCATTGGCTATCTATAAAAAGTTAGGCATTGGAATAGCAAGGCCCACATCCATGTTACTACTGCTAGCAGACCGAACGGTGAAAAGGCCATCAGGTGTACTTGGCGATGTACTTGTGCAAGTCGGAAAGTTTGTGTTTCTAGCAGATTTTGTCATTCTAGACTACTAGGTTGATGAGGAGATTCCAATAATTTTGGGAAGTCCGTTCTTGGCCACAGGAAGAGCTCTGATTGATTGTGAAACTGGGGAGCTGAAGATGAGGCTGAATAATGAAGAAATAATACTTGATACTTCTTTTCAAGTCTTTACACTTAGAAGAAAGAAAGACCCCTCTAGCTAAGCTATCGATCGAAGATCCACCACAGTTGGAACTGAAACCGCTACCATCTCACCTCAGGTATGCTTTCTTGGGACCAAACTCGACTGTACCTATTAATATCTCATCTTATTTGTTGGATGTGGAAGCAGAACAGCCTTTGCAAGTGTTAATAGAGTGCAAGGTTGCAATTGGTTAGACCATTGCAGATACTAAGGGTATCAGCCCGGCTTTCTGTATGCATAAGATGTTACTAGAATATGGGCACAAAACTTCCAGAGAACATCAAAGAAGGTTGAACCCCAACATGAAAGAAGTTGTTAAGAAGGAAGTGATCAAGTGGTTAGATGTGGGAATCATTTTCCCCCTCTTCGACAGCAACTGGGTTAGCCCAGTTCAGTGTGTGCCAAAGAATGATGGAATGACTGTGGTGCAAAACGAGAACAACGAGCTGATATCAACAAGAAGAGTCACGGGATGGCAAATTTGTATGGACTACAGAAAATTGAACAAGGCCACCCGAAAAGACCATTTTCCCTTGTCGTTCATTGATCAGATGCTAAATAGATTTGCAGGGAGGTCCCACTTTTCATTTTTTGGATGGATACTAGGGGTATAATCAGATCTCTATTGCCCCGGATGATAGAGAGAAAATGTCATTCACCTGTCCATATGGCATCTACGCTTTTCGGAGGATGTCATTTTGCATGTGCAATGCACCTGCCACATTCCAAAGGTGCATAATGGCCAACTTCATAGATATGGTAGAGGACATAATGTAAGTCTTCATGGATGCTTTCTCAGTGGTGGGAAACTCGTTCGATGACTGCCTTAGGAATCTGAAAAGAGTGCTGAAGAGATGTATGGAGACTAATCTGGTGCTAAACTTGGAAAAGTGCCATTTTATGGTACAGGAAGGTAAAGTCTTGGGGCACCTAGTGTCAAGTAAGGGCAATGAGGTGGATCGTGTAAAGGTTGATGTAATAGAAAAGTTGCCACCACCCATTTCCGTCAAGGCAATAAGAAGTTTCCTTGGCCATGCCGATTTCTACATGCGGTTTATAAATGATTTTTTCAAGATTGCTAACCCTTTGTGTAAATTACTTGAAAAAGATCACCCTTTTGTGTTTAATGATGACGGCAGGGTAGCTTTTGAGGAATTGAAGAACAAGCTGATGTCTGCACCTATCGTAGTTGCACCCGACTGGGAGCAACCATTGAGTTGATGTACGATGCAAGCGATTATGCTATGGTAGTAGTGTTGGGGCTGCGAAAGGAGAAGGTCATGCACCCAGTATACTATGCAAGTAAAACCCTGAGTGGTGTCCAACTAAACTACACTGTGACCGAAAATGAGATGCTAGCACTGGTGTTCTCATTTGACAAATTCAGGTCATACCTGATAGGCTGGAAGGTAATTGTTTATACTGACCATGTTGTCCTCGGGTACCTAATTGAGAAGAATGATTCAAAGTTGCGCCTGATTCGATGGGTGCTACTACTACAAGAATTTGACCTGGAAATCAGTGACCGAACAAGAATAGAGAACCAAGTGGCGGATCACTTGTCCGGGTTAGATGGATCGGAGAAGAAGATTGAGGTAGAAGGGATCGTGGAAACTTTCCCGGATGAACAATCGTTGCCATAAGCCTTGAGGTAGCGCCATGGTATGCAGATATTGCAAACTACCCGGAAAACAGTATTATCCCCCATGACCTATCCTCTGTACAAAAGAAAAAGTTCTTCCGTGATTGTTATATGTACTTTCGGGATGAGCCTTTTTTTTAGATTTGTGTTGGTAACATGATTAGGAGATTTATTTCCGAGATAGACCAATATTCTATTTTGTAGGCTTGTCACACTTCCCCATATGGTAGCCATTTCGGGGGAGTAAGGACAGCTGCAAAAGTGTTGGAGTCGGGCTTCTACTGGCCGATATTGTTCAAAGATGCACACTTCTGGGTGAAGGGTTATGATGAATACCAACGGACCGGAAATATTTCCTGCCAACATGCGATGCCCATGAACCAAATTCAAGAGGTGGAAGTGTTGGTGTATGGGGAATCGATTTCATGGGGCCTTTTTCAGCTCATATGAAAACAAGTACATACTCGTAGCTGTGGACTATGTGTCAAAAGGGTGGAAGTTGTGGCACTCCCTCCAAATGAAGCAAAGGGGTTCACTGGTATTTTGAGAAAGAATATATTCACCCGATTTGGCACTCCAAGGGCATATAATCAGTGACGGAGGCACTCACTTCTACAATCGAGCCTTTGCAAAGTTGTTAGAAAAATATGATGTGCGCCACAAGGTTGCCACCCCATATCACCCACAAACTAGTGGGCAAGTGGAAGTTTCGAACAGAGAGATATAGAGCGTTTTGACAAAGAAAGTGAATGCTACAAGAACGGATTAGGCGAGAAAGTTAGATGATGCACTATGGGCCTATCGTACCGCTTTCAAAACTCTGATTGGCATGTCGTCAAATAAATTAGTTTTTGGGAAGGCGTGTCACTTAACCATGGAGTTGGAGCATAGAGCTTTGTGGGCATTGAGGCAGCTGAATCTCGATATGGAAGCTGCGGGTACAAGTAGAGTCACAGACTTAAATGTGCTTGATGAATTCCTCTACCATGATTTTGAGAGCACAAGACTATACAAGGAGAGAATGAGGATGATGGATGACAAAAATATTCTTGAGCGGAGTTTTAAACCTGGAGATATGGTATTGCTATACAATTCGATAATTAAGTTGTTTCCAGACAAGTTGAAGTCAAGATGGTCAGGACCATTTCGTGTGGAGATGCATTCAACTACACCCATCGATATTACATCGAAAGATGGCTCCCGCAAGTTCAAAGTTAATGGGCAAAGACTAAAACATTATCAAGGCATGGTTGAGGAAGATAAAATGATCTCGACATTGTACTTGAAAGATCCTTGATAAAGGATAGCCCGAGTCGTGCCGCGATATTAAATCAGGCGCTTCATGCGAGGCAACCCATGGTCTTGTTGTAATTCATCGTGTCACAACGTTAAATCATGCGCTTGTTGGGAGGCAACCCAATTTTTATGTTTTTCTTTATTTCTCGTGTTTGATTTTGAATTGTGGAAGTATTGACATGATTATGAATGTTGTAGGAATGAGATTGTGCGAATTGGAATGATCCGGGGTGAAGAAATCATGACAAAAGGACGAATATGGCTAAATTTGAAAAGCTAAAAAAATGGCCAGCACTAGACTTATCTAAATCCGCACCTCGTGCGAAGGCAGATGTGGCCCAGGCCAGCAATTGACCAAAAAAATAGTAAAGTCGGGCCATGGCGCGCCCCACTTCGCGAATTATTTTTTTCTTTTATTAATTTTCTTTTCTTTTTCGGCTATACTCATAAATAGGTTAGTTTTAATTCTTTTTCCTCATTCAGCACCCCTAACGCCCCATTTCCCTATTCATTCAACAAAAAAAATCATTTCCCCTCTTCATTCTTCTGCTCCCAATTCCCACTCTTTCCTGCCTCCTCCCCTCAACACCTCAGGTAAGTTCTGGTTTATTGTTTTTTTCTTTGTATGTTTCATTATTCCTATCCCCTCCCCCACATAACAGATCCCTCCGTTTTTCCCTTAGGTTTATATTTTGTTTTTCTCCTTCTTTCTTGTTATGGTTCATTTTGGTAGAGTAATTGAATTTTGAATTTTGAATTTTGAATTTTGAATTTTGGAGCATAGTTTGCTCAAGATTTTGTTAGTTGTTGTGCATAGTGAGGTGGGAAACTAAAATTCCCACCACCTCACTCAAATTGGAAGGTCAAAACACATGTTACTTGCATTGAAACATGATGGTAAATATTATGCATATAATGTGTTCGAAAAATTGCCCGAAGGAGAATTTTGATAAGTTTTGCAAAGAATGAGTAGCAAGACTCATTGTTTTGGTAATATGGACATCTCCTGAGTGTGGGGTAGCCGTTTGGGTGTCTTTTCACTTAAATTGCAATCATTTTAGAACGAATGTCAACCCGCGACCAACTTAGGCACGACTCGTGCACGACGTGTGCGCCGTCCTACCCACTTGAATTTTCAGTGATGCTATGTAACCTTATATTAATATAATTAAGTTGTAGTAGACATTTGTACCCTGGTTGCACACTTACACTTTCGGGCTAAGTGTGGGATGCGATGTATACCACTATGACTCAATGTTACACATTCTACTAATATGTGTTTTGTATCTTTTTCAAGTGATATGGCTGTCTCAAAAACACCAACTAAAAGCCATGGAGCCGGTGGTAATGGTAAGCCACCCTCAAAGAAACCACCAACTGACAAGAATATAGTGGAGAAGGGTGTTATAGAGGCATGAACAAAGGCTAGGCATGATAAGGAAAATAGTGGAACTTCTGAGGTGGACACTGAGGAATCTGAGCACTGAGCAGCTTGAGATATGATGAGGAGTTTTTGACACCCACTCCACTAATGATCATTTATTGTATGCTTCTGTGATATTGTGCAACTAGGGACAGTGCACTCTCTTAAGTGTGAGGTGGGGGTGTCAGAATTGATTTTTGTGGCATGTGTTTAATTGTTAGCGATATATTTTGTTATGATCACACTTAAGGCCATTGTAATTTTATAATTGTAGTTAGCGTTTTCTTGGCGTAAACCCAGGTTTTCTTTAAACAACTGTTATTTCTCGAGGATGCCATTTTCTTGAACCGGGTAGTGTCACACCTCCTTTTTCCTTACTACACCCCCGTAAAGGGTATAATAAAGGGAGTTATTTCCAACTTGAAGTGACAATCGAAACGGAATTTATTTAATTAAAAATCAGAGTCGCCACTTGGGAGATTTATGGTGTCCCAAGTCACCGGTTTTAATCCCGAATCGAGGAAAAGAATGACTCTGTTATTACAGTCTGCGAATTAGAAATCCGGGTAAGGAATTCTATTAACCCGAGAGAAGGTGTTAGGCACTCCCGAGCTCCGTGGTTCTAGCACGGTCGCTTTGATAATACTTGGCTTACGAAAATTGTTTAATTACTGATTTTAAACCTATGTGCATTTGTTTCGTTCACCGCTTTTAATTAGAAAATCATCTTGAGACGGGTTACGCGTACGTATACCCGCCCGTTTGATGCGTCAAAATCATGTCACGCGAGCGTGTCCACAATCAATGACGCTTAATTATTATTAAGAAAAGTTTGGGCCAAAGTTGCGCGAACGCATACTCCGGTTTTATTTTTAGAAGTGTAGTTGTGTTACGCGGACGTATATGCAACCACACTTGGTATTTTCAAACGGCCTTAAAGGATATTCTACGAAATATTATTTTTATCTAGCCTACGAAATTACTAAAAGGCCATATGTGATTTTGATGAACTTACGTGAACTAAAAAAAAGATTAAAAACTTGTAACCTATTTTATCATTAAGAAAATATTGAGCGAAGTTGCGCGAACGCATACTCCGAATTAATTTAGGATCACGGTCATGTTACGCGAACGTATACGCAACCACAATCGTATTTTAAGCGGCCCGAAAGGCTTTTCTACGGATGTTCAATTTTCTTCATAAAATAAAACTATGATACAAAACCCATTACTATAGCAGTATCTACTACTGGGCCGACCTTAAGCCCATATTTCCAAACCAATAGCATGCCATGTTGATTAAAAGAGGTGCGATCAAAGTTATACACCATACAAGCAAGACATCCAATTAAACTAATGATACTGAATCAGGTGAAACGCGGATCAGCCATCTGGAAACCTGAAAGTATAATATCAACTCCAGCCCTGAGCATCTTTATAATTTTACATTAACCACTGCTTAAGAAGCTTAACTCAAACAGAATTATTAATGGTAAACAACCCAGCAGATCGGCACAGAATCATTTGTATGCCAGGATCACATTAGGATATAAACTACCACCAAAAGCAATATAAACTCAACGTATATAATCAAAGCTAAAGAGGAGATAAAAAGACAGAAAAGAGAAAAAAAACTGAACAACATGCCTTTGTTTAAATCTTTGTCCACATCATACTACAACACCAAAATAGATACTAGAAAACAACTTACATCAGCCCAGACTAGCAATTGATGGTAAAAAAAATAATGAACTAAATTGTCAAACACCACGAAACAACATGATACATCTAGATTCATTACAGAAGCTGCAAATACTTTTTGAAATTTAGAATTTCTCTTTTATTCCCTCACATTGATCTTCACATGAAGTAGGATACAGAAGTGTACCTGAAATCGAAGGAACAAATAAACAGAGCAGGATTAGCAGTAATGAATAGCAGAGATGGACAACAGCAACAGTTTAGTCCAGATTTAACCGGTGCGACTAGGAAACCAATTCCAAATCCAATGTAACAGTGAAATTCTAACAGCTTGATTCAAACAGACTTTCTAGAACTTA